CTCATCAATAATTTATTATTTACAAATTTATTGAAATCATGCGCAGTAAAATTAGTTCGTGCTAAGAATTTATCTAAAATGCATATTTTAATTATTGACGGAGAGAGGCAGATAAGGACCTCTTTGGGTGGGGCAAAACAGGACAGTTAAAAAGCAGCAATTATTCGTTAATTGTAAAGCTTTAAAAATGATGAAAAATGAAAGCTATCTATTGTTTAAACATGTTCATACATTAAACTCTCAGGAAAGTAACATGGGGTTGTCCATAAAGTACGTACGCTTTTTTTTTGTCCACTTACACCCCCCTAGAATTTTGCAATACGCTTTTTTGAGCATCCTCCAAAAAAAATAAATTAATTTTTTTTTTGTTATATTATGAAAGACCTCTGCTCTGCTCTAACCTATATATTAACAAATTGATAACTACTATTATATTCAAAATTAAGCAAAAAATATTTTGAATCACTTAAATCACACAAAAAATATCCTGAAACCAACGGACAACATATTTGATGAGCTGGCTTATTTATTAGCAATATGCCAATGTAGAGCAAGCTTAAATATGTCATTTTTATCAGCAGCTTTTCTAGTTCTAAGTTCCTTTTTAATCACAGCTAAAACTGCATGTCATCCCATTTTAGACGATTGATCTTTTTTATATAATTTCTAACCATCTTTGTTTACATTAAACATTTTTAATAATTAGATTAAGTTATAAAAATGAGAATTTCTTTGAATTTGTTACTGATATGGCTTTTCTAAATAAGGAAAATAATATTTTAGATTAAAAACAAAATTATCAAACTGTAAAAAGGCATCACAAAATGTTAGTAATATTGTCAATTATATAAATAACTTGTTGCCCCGATACGCCCCACAAAAATCATTTTACTGAAATTTATACTATTCAAAAAGTTTAATTCCATATATATTTTATATTCCATATAAAACCAGATTCAAAAATAGGATAAAAAAATGCTCCCTGAAATATATGAACAAAAAAAAATATATAAAATAAAAAATCTATAAATAAAGCAAGTTAGCAATAGTTCAAGATAGCTTAGAAAATTTTGTTTTTCGCAAACTTATTCATGCGTTTTAGTGCTTTTAATGTATTTTGGTATATCTAAAATTATTATTTTTTTACAGTAATAAAGCACAATAATTAAAAATATTCTATCAAAAAAATTTAAAAAAAAAAATAACTTTTAGCTGAGACACAAGACTTAAGGCATAATTTTATCTTTATGCCTAACTGTTCCGATATGACCCGCTCCATTTAAAAAAATGACTGGTAAAAATTATTTACTCATAACTTTTTCTTTACGATATCTAGAATAAGAATGTATTTTCCTTTTTATTCAAAAAATTTTAGTTCGCAAAATATTTTGTAAATAATTGAGGTGATGCTGTACTTTTTTTTTTAATACCTAAAAACCTAATTATTTCAAACAAAAAATTTTCATTCTTTTATGACTTAAGTGTTTCCATAATTTAAAAACTTTTTTTCTTTTTTTGATTGCGAAGAATAATTACATATTTAAAAAAGGAAACCAATCACTAAAGTTTTTAGTTTATACAAAACTGCTTCGCCATTTTTTTTTAAATAACTAATTTAAATTCGCATGCTCTCAATAAAATCCTAGGCTCAAACAATAATATATTATATAATATATCATTGTGCTCAAATCACCGTGAAATAAATGCTAATAGTTCGATTAACGTTAAATTAAAATTTATTTTAAAAATTAGATTAAAATTTTTTTATTTGGTCGTCTTGGTTAACAAAAATTCCTTTGACAGTTCTATTTGTCTACATATTTAACGTGACACTAGGATTTTAATAATATTACCGACTTTACAAAATCAAAATTGCATCCGCCTGTAACAAAATATTTGTAATGTAAATGTGAAAGCTCTGAGTACATCCCTAATCGCTCTTTAAAGTTCTAGGCCGGACGTGAAAAATAAAGTTTTAGCGTTGAAAACTAATTATCTAAAAAATATTTTAAACTTTGCTTTTTGTTTCAATGTGGCCCCGAATAAAATTATAAGCATTTATGTAAAAAACTTTTTATTTCGTAAAGTTTTCATTGTAACCCTTCATAACGATGTTTTACTTAAAAAGGCTACGAAAACGACGATGTAAAATTATAAATTTTATGTTCTCTTTGCAGTTGGCGTTTTGATTTCGCATTATCAAAATACAGCCCGTGGGCGAATTACAAACTTACGTGGGGAGTGAAAGTCTCATGAAATAAAACTTGATGCATGAATATGACCGTAAGTTAGCCTTCATGATATTGAGATTAATTTACCTCCTTACCTTTTATTAAAAATAACTTCAAAAGACTCTATTTTTATATATTTATATACTTATATATTTTTTAAACTATTTTGCATTTTATATGAACTTCTTTGAAACTTTTTTTTCTCATTATTGATTTTAGTTACAACGTATTTTATAAATGTCTAGAAAAAACAAGGGCTTGGTGATAAGGCAAACCTGTCTTCTTATCGTCCTTGCCATTTTTATATTATAAAACACGGAGCTTGTAAATATGTGTACGGCTTAATAATTAAAAAATTATAAAGTTTTTAAAAAACTTATTATTGGTGAAAAATGTGGTAGTAAAAATTTCATTCTACATCAGAAATTACATAGGTATAAAAGTCTCCATAGAATATTATTTGGCATTTTTTATTTTTAGTAACGTTGCAAAATATTTTATTTTTAAAAAAGAAGTTTAATTTTCATAAATTATTTTTTAATATTAGAAAAATTGAATTCAAGCCGACATCAAAAAAAATTAATTTTAATGATTTTTATTGATTACACTTGGGAAGAAAAAAAATTCGGTCTGCTACCTGAGAAAAAACCTGTCAGTCTAACTTATTCTGGCATGCTGATTACAATGGTGTAATCAGAATATTTGTATCACGTCAGGTTTTTTAGTTATATCACTTTTACATTTTTGGTAATAATGCATGTTGTAAAAGGTTTTATATTGCTTAATATTGTTGTACACTTGCTGTGCTGTGTACTTTACTTTTAAATATTATGTTTTATATTATTATTATTTTTTATTTTAGGCTGATCTTGTAGTATTTTCAAAACAATATGAAGAAAGTTAAAAGGGGTCGCTTGAATCATCAAGACTATTTTTGTTATATCTGTGAACATTTTACTCCCCGTGATCAGCGGAAACAACTTACAAGAAAAGTGAAAGTTGCCTATAATCACTACTTCGGCGTCAAAATATGCGATCAAGACAGAACCTGAGCGCTACATATTTGCTGCAGTATTTGTTATGTGGAGCTCACCCAGTGGCTAACAGGCACAAAGAAGTTTATGCCGTTTGCGGTACAATGATATGGCGAGAACCAAGAGATTATCATTCGAACTGCTACTTCTGCATGACGAATATTGCTGGATACTCCAAGAAAAACAAATCAGCAATTTATTATCCAAATTGTGACTTTGCTTTGAAACCTGTTCCACACGATGAACAAAATCCTGTTCCCAATCCTCCAGTATGCCTTGGAAGCGAAAGCGACAATGATGGTGAGGAAAGTCACAGGGAGCAAGAGAGTGATGCATATGAACCTATAGATGATGAAAAGATACCTTATCTTATTGGCCAAGCTAAATTGAACTATTTAGTGAGAGATCTAGGTTTAATGAAGAAGAAGGCAGAACTGTATGGATCTCGTTTACAACAATGGAATTTGTTACAAAGTGGAACAACAGTCTTACATTTTCGTGATAGGCATGTACAGCTTGTTAAGTTTTTTGACAAAAATGAAAGTATCTGTTATTGTACTCACATTAACGGTTTAATGAAAAAACTGGACTGTGAGTATACTCCAAGAGACTGGCGTCTGTTTATAGACTCAAGTAAAGTTAGTCTTAAAGCAGTTCTCCTACACAATGGAAATGTCATGCCATCTATTCCATTAGCACACGCAGTCGGATTACATGAGACATGATTCTATGAAATTGCTTCTCAACATCATCCAGTCTAGAGCACATATGATACAGTTGCTTCTGCTCTTCTATTTACATAAATTTTTAGTTATTGTATTGAAATTTAGAAGCATTGTCATTATATTTCTAATGACCATAAAGTGTTAAAATGGTAAATCAAGATGTAAATATAACTTTAAAACGTCATACACAATTTTCAATGACATATTTGGAATCGGCAGGTCAAAATGGTTTTAGTACACTTAATAGATCTCAGGTAGCAAAAGTATTGTTCCCTAGTGTTATTAAAGGATGTTGTATTTTTATTATTTTTAATAGTTTAATGATATGGTTGTCAAATGAAATTTTTAGCATGACGAATGGGATAAACTGACAATTTATTTATTACAAACTTTTCAAAATAAATTCTTCTAAGACATAGATCTTTCGAATGTTTAATACTCGTTTTAAATATGAAAACATTTATATATTTATTTTTATATTTACATTGCCGCTCAGAATTCATTTTAATTGAATAATCAAAACTTTTAATTAAATCATAAAAAACAAAACTTTGATGTAAAATTTTTCTATTCGTGAAGTTAGAATTATTTTGTTCCGTCTCCACATTTTTTTGTTTTGAGATAAAACGATTTAAAAAAATAAAAACTAGGCATATAACAAGATTTTTATTACTTATGTTTTCTCTGAAACTTTTTTTATTTTAAGTTTTAATATAGTAGAAAAACATTACTTTGAGTTACATGACATAAACCATAACTCGATTTTTTCAAAAAGTGGAGATCTGGAGGCGGCTTACAAATCATTTTTTGCCGAATTTTTTTGCGTAAGATAAATTTATCGTAAAAGAAATTGAATACAATAGAAAACAATTCGTACAAAAACGCAGTTTAAATTAATTGAGGTTAATTTCTTATAAATCTTTCATAATAAATTCTTATCATAAATTGACATAAGTTTAACAGTAAAAAATATAAACAATAATAATAATAATAATAATAATAATAATAATAATAATAATAATAATAAACTTCCTTTTCATTTAACAGGATTTTCTTTGATTTCATTTGTACGTAAAGAGAAATATATGGCAACCAAATTTTCAGTTGATCCATATGATATATTATATAACGAAGTTGGAAACGCACGTATATCGCAACTAGTCGTCCACCACATACTACAACTTTTAAATGTCGTGCCATTTGCGTTAAATCGATCTGGTTCAAATGCTTAATATTGGTAAAAAATGTAATAAAATTAAACAAAATTTTGTTAAATTTAGTTTAAGTTCTAAACAGCGACACAAGAAATTTTGCTGCTAGAATATTTAGCTGTCAAAATTTCCTGGGAGCTATGTCACTCAGCTGCGAAATTTCCTAGTAAAAAACTAAAATGACAGAGAAAACATCAACAACCATTAAAGATTAGTAATTAAATGAAAACTTGAAATGTAATTTTAATATTAAGTTAAGAAAAGCAAAGTATAAATTTAAACTCACAGCCTCTTGGGTCGTACTTTTCATAATTAAACACATAGTTATCTTCACTTGAGCCAATTATTACGTTATAATACATCGTACTTAATGTTATACTTTCTTCAAAAACGTAATCAACTCTCATATCAGTAAAAAATGTGTTGGTTATTTGATAAATCTTTTTTAAACCAATCCACTGTTGATTAAACAAGCCAAAACCGTTTTCGTAAGCATCGTAGCTTTTACTCCAAAAACTTGATTCCCAACTGGCAAAGCGAGTCATCATTGGAATCCAAACCCCTTGAAAAATGTTATTTTCAAACTTTATTTAATTTCATTATTCATTATTACATTATTTCAAAGTTTCAAAAAATATGAAATAAGTATAAATAATCGGGTGGACACGGAAAAATCCAGTCAATTTTATATAGAGATGTCTCTAAAATCACAAAGTTTTTTGATTTCTTTAATTAAACTTTTTTTATTAATTCTTTAAAATCAATTCTTTATTAATTCTTTAAAAAAAAAGTTCTTTGATTTATTTAATTAAACGTCACCTCCTTATATTTAATTGCGTTGATAAACTTTTGCTTACAAATCAACGATTTGCAAAATGTTCGGAAACATACTGAGGTGCGTAAAAATGTTGTGAATTTTTTTTGCGATATGAAGTCCATCGACTTCATATCGCTAAATTGCTAAACGTACAAATGTCCCAAAATCTAGTCATAAATATTATAAACAAGTTTAAAACAACTCTAAGCTTTGAAAGAAAACCTGAAAGTGTAAGAAAGAAAACTTTCAATAAATCCAAAAAGGTAAAGCCGATTCTCAGTTCAATAGCAAGAAATCCCAACCAGTCACAGCGAGATCTAGCGAGAAAACTTAAGACTTCGCGTTCTTATATCAAAATAGCACTTAATAAATGCTGAAATTAAAGCATTTCATAAGTAAAATACACCTAAGAGAAGCTTAAAGGGAAATTCCATGTCAAAACAACAACAAAAATTTAAGAAATAACCCACTATCTCAAAGTTGCCTTATTTTTGGAGCAAAGATAATTAACTACGCTAAAAAGAATTCCTTAACGTTGTATTAAACAAATCAGAACTTTGTAGAAGTTATGCTTGTTTAATATAACTTGGTAACATTTTTTCTTATCATGCTTCCCTAGCAATTTTCTTAGTAACTAGTGAACATCGATACAAACGTTGTAACCTTAACTAGATTATTTAATGATTTAAAATTTTCTACAAATTTTTAGATATTAAACCATAAAATTATACTCAGAAATTATTATCTTTAATAAATCAATTAGTGTAAGTCGACGTTTTTAATATAATTTAGAAGTAAACATGTTTACCTTAGGCCAATTACAGATAAGGTTATGATCTATTTATTTCCAAACTTCATATTTGGAAAGTATATATAAATATCTGGAAAAAAAAAAGCTGAGCTGTTTTTTGACTAATCTAAAGATTTTTCGATGCAACATGCATTATTTGCATATCACAAACAATAAATTTATATAGATCATGGTATTCAATTTTAGTGGGTAAGAAAATTGACTTTATGCTTTCGTGATAGATACAAACGCATACAGAATGGATGCTATAATGAGTTTGATAATGAATTTGTCAAAACACGCAATTTAGGTCTTAAAACACAAAACTTAGAAAAAACTTAACTTAGATGCAGATAAAGAATTTTAAATGAGACAATTTACTCTTTGTAGCTTGAAAAAAAGTTATTACATTTGCAAATGGACTTTCCAATTAATACTTACAAAGTTTTTCGAAGACGAGGCATCTGAAAAGAGTTTTTATCATCGTCATAAAAATGTTTCACTAATTTAATTACTTGATCAGGCAACATTTTTCCTCGTTTAGTTTGTGGAACTGCAAGAACTCCTTCCTTCTTTGTTAAAGATCTAGATTTTATTATTAGATATTTTGAAACACAAAAATACTCACTGGCTGCTTCAATTGACCATTCTTGTGGGCATAAAGTCAACACTTGAATCTTATCCCTAAAAGAGCAGCATTTTTTAAGTTTATCTTTTATTAAAACTAACATTTTTTCAAACTAAGCAACTTTTTTATTTAAATCAAGAATATATTCATTCTTGAAAACTTTAATTCCTGTCAATGGAACTTTTTTTTTTAAAACTGTTGTAATAGTAGTCAATTTTTTTTTTTTAATGCTCATATGATTTACAAATGGCTTTCAATGAAGCTTAACCAGTGACAAACCAATTGTACTGAGATAATTAGAAAGTTCTTTTACTTATATCAGCTTCATGTTGAATGTTAAATACGTTTTCCTTATTTATGTTTTCATTTGTGTTATGATCAGCAATGTTAATGTTATCAGTATTAATTTAAGTGAAAGGTTTTAATTTGACTAAGCGACTTTTTACAAATTTTTTGAAGTACAATATTAAATTATTTGTTTGAAGCTATGGTTTTTAACTTGAAGTCTTTGAGAAATGCTAAGTTAAAGAGTATTACTCAATAAAAAAAAATACGCCTAGTATTGAGAAACGTAACGAACTTCAAATGATGAAAAAGCATGCATTTTGCAGCATTTATTCTAAAACACAGGGAACTTCTCAAGATAGAACTTTTGATGATGGCAAGCAATTTGTAGCTGTGGTGTGCAATCTTCTTGTTTTGTCAATAAGAGGACATTGACTGCTAATCTCTAAAAAGTAATTTGCCATTTATGAAAAAACAGAAATACTTATGTTTCTGTTGGCCTGATCTTGCCGCTTCTCAATATTCTAAAAAAATTCTACAGTGGTGCAAAGATAGTAATGTAAAAATTCTTCCCAATCTTCCTGATGAGCTCAAGATTGAAGATTTTTGGGCAATAATTAAAGGAGTTTTTCCAAAGACAGGTGTAGTAACAAAAAATAAAAAGAACTTCCAGAAAAAGTGGATTAATGCCACCAATAAGGAATAAAAATAAAAAATCCACAAAATCTCTTGCCAAACAGCCCCTTAAAATTAAGTTGAAACCTCAATTGATGTAAACACATTTAAATAAAAAAAGTCTAAATAAAAAGCATTCGTGGTTTCTCAATTTAAATCTCAATTTAAATCTCAATTTAAATCTCAATTTAAATCTCAATTTAAATCTCAATTTAAATCTCAATTTAAAGTTGACCGGATTTTTCTGTGATATACTTAAGTATTAATGAAAAAAGCAGAGTCATTGGAAAAAAAATAATGAGGTAATAACAATGTAATATTTAAGATAATTAAGTTTTCCTTTTACTTAAAAGAGTGTACAAAAAATCAAAGAATACAAGAAAGAGAGTTTGAAAAGAGGTTACAAGATGTATGGCTACAAGATTTTTTTTTTTTTTTTAAGTTGATTAAGGTGCCCCAAGAAGTCCTTACGGTCTTATCACAGAGCACCGCGGAAGAGCATTTAATGGGAAGTTCACGCCTCCTTCCCAACCGATGTCGCAAAACTTGCCGAGAGGTGGGGTTTGAACCACGGATCTTACGTTTCTGAGGCAAGTGCGCTACTACTGCGCCACGGCTGCTGATAAGATAACAAGGGTATGAGAAAAAAAGGTTTTTTGAGAGGGGAAAATTATTCTCTGAGAAATTTAAATCTTTCTTTTAATTAAAACAGTATCTGACCAAGCCAAAACCCTCAGTTGATGTTTCTACATCTTGATTATAAAATCACTTACGCCTAAATCTTACTCAGTCAATGTGTACACTTTGTTAACGGAGTAGTTACAGTCTGTTAACGGACTGTTATGGCTGTAACAGTTTATGTGCAGCGCACTTTCTGCGCTTTGATTTTATATGGTCCAAGTGCAAAACTTTATTTAGTTTGTACACTAAAGTGTGCAGTAGCAAAAAAAAGTATCAAAAAAAGTTAAAAAACGCGTGACGTAATTTACAGACGACCCCCAAAGCAAAGTAAGCAAAAGTTATGGTATTAAGTTTCTACAATTAAACTATGTGAATAGAAAAAGTGTCAAACTAAAATGAAGCTAGCGCGTAAAAATGTATCAAATTTTGTTAACCAGTATCAAAAAAATAATTTGCTAATTTTTAAAAGTAAAATAAGTTTAAAACTAACAGGATATATTATTATTAATCTATTAATCTATCCTTGTATCAATCGATTGATTGGATTAATCCAGTTAAATAATAGAAAAAAACCGAGAACTCGTATCAAAATTTACATAAATTAGCATTAAAGCTGTTATTTTTAAAATTATTAGTTGGTAAATTGATGAAACAGAGAACTGTATTGAAAACAGACACTGCATATGAAAATGAGCTTTACTTTACTCATGAAGTTCAGGCTAATCCAATTACTGCTCATTATGAGTCATTGCTTGTTAACGAAAGATAAAATTTTAGAAAAATCTAAATTTACACTCAAATTGTTTATGAAGTTTTATCGAAATCAACTTAATACTATAGAAAATTTGTATAAAAACACTTCTTGGAAAATCGACAGGGCTTGATTGCATCTGTTTTTAAAATACTGAATAATAAATCAAATATTTTGATTTATTATTCAGTATTTTATTGCTTGCTATGTCGCAACAGATTATAATCTTAAAATTGCAAAATATAAATCTTTGAATGCAAAGTCTCTACAACCAATAAATCTTTCCATTACTGTCGCAGGCTTGTACATCAATGTTGATTATCCTAAGTGAAAGTCCAGATGGAATTGAAAAATGAAATTGCCATGGAATAGATATTCTTTAAATGAAATTCTCTGTAAATATAGAAACAGATTGGAGTTGTGGAAAGATGACAAAAACTATCTACTTAATAAAGATGGTCTAATTAAAACTAATCACCAGTATTACTATCAAATATATCAACAAACGATGGTAAAAAAAAATTGTCTGTTGGAGTAATGGAAACATGACAAATGATAAACTCTGTATCTGATTTTATTTCTGTTATACGTTTTAAGATAAACTTTTTGTTTTTGACAGTTACATTGACAAAAATTGTAACAAGAAAAAATTGAATCCAAATCAACTACAGCTATTCTGCATATGTAAATATTCAAAATGCGTCTTCCTTTGGCTGAGTGTATTAATTTTCATTGTCCAGTCAATTAGTATCAAGTGTGCTAATAGTATAATACTATTAAATATAGTTGTCAAAACACAATATTTTTATCAATTCATAAAAAATACAAGAATTCCGACCAAGAAAGAGCTTATAAATATGAAAAATTGCCAATAAACAATCAGAACAGATCATATTGTTAAACTATAATGTTCATATCACCTAAAAAATATATTATTATAAAATCTTATTCAAATTTGGACGAGCGATTGTGATTTTAAGATGATTTAAAAAAAAAAAAAAAGACTCCTCGGTCTGGGTTTTTACGCTACAAACATATATGTTTTGCGATAGCGCAAAACTTATCATTTTAATATTTTTCGTCTTTTTATAATTTACAGACTAGACCATTTAACGGAAATATGTCGTAGTCAACAAAATGATCTTACAGACGCTCTAATATTTTAAAAGTGCATTAACTACACCGAGTAGTACATTTGATAAATAAACTGTAAAATTCCATTTTTTTAGTATTCTGTAAAATTCTAAATTCTCACAAATAATTCAAAGGCATGATGTTTATAGTTCTAAAATTTTCTTGAAAATTCTAGAACTAAAAACTGGATGAAAAATACTTTAAAAATTATATATGCAAAAATATCGACAATAAGGAAAGTTTCTAAAACAACAACTCTTTTTTAAAATAACTTTCTTCTGCCTTTTTATGTAACTCTTTACCTAATAAACCTTTCTTTATAGCCTTCATTCCTTTTTTTTTTGTTTTCTGTTGTCTTACAGTTTATTATTTGAATTTTGGATGGACCAGCAGACACCTATCTATATCTCAAGTTCATCAAATACTTTAGAAAATCCAAATTAACCATTGTTAAATTGAAAGATTTTCCATTTTCACGCTCAACTTAAAAACTTTTTAACAAAAATTTGTTTGGGACATGGCTTTTTTCAGTTTAAAAAGTTAGTGCAATAGTAAAGCATCTATCCATATTTTCATTGTCACATTTTTCTATCATTTTAAACTAAAAATTACTCTTTTTCAAATGACAATTTGCTATTGAAAAGTACAAAAATAATTTTTTTTTAAGCAGCACAAGTCATTATAGGATTGATTTGCAGACAAAATCATTTGGTGACATCACTAAAATTCTATGCTATTGATAGTTGTTTTTTAATTATCTTTTTCATTTAAAGTAATTTTCATACTATCTATTGCAGCATTTTCATGCAGGAAACAAGTTGTTGTTAATTTAATATTAAATTTTATGCTTTTAATTTCTTTCCTTTTCAAGAAAGAAGCAAACTATAAGCATCGAATTATAGACCAGTTTCTCTCACATCCATACCGTGCAAAATATTTGAGAGCATATTACATGAAAAAATAATGCTACACTGTAACTCGAACGGTATAATAAGCATATCACAACACGGATTCGTTCAAAGAAAAAGCTGTTTGATTAATATCTTTGAAACTCGCGACTTCCTCACAGAAGCCACAAATAAAAAGTATCCAGTTGATGTGATTCACACTGATTTTGCAAAAGCATTTGACAAAGTCCTACACAATCGCCTATTGAGCAAATAAAAAGCATATGGCATCAACGAGAAAACATTAATGTGGATAAATGCTTGGCTCATCAATAGACAACAGCGTATTGCCATTGATACTCATTCAACTTCTGATATAATCGCATCAGATTGGAAAAAAGTTACAAGTAGTGTCCCTCAAGGAAGCGTCCTCGGCCGAATCTTTTTTGTACTACTTATAAACGATCTATCGGACAACATTACAAGCCAGTTTAAGCTCTACGCAGATGATAGTAAAATTATGAACATCATAAAATCGAATAAAGATATGCTAGTTTTACAATCAGACGTTGATCAAGCCGTAAACTGGTCTCACAAATGGTTGATGTTCTTTAATGTGGAAAAATGCAAAACAATTCATGTCGGTCGAGGTAACAGAAAATCTAATCAAGTCTACTCAATGACAAACATAGAAGGCACTCGTCGAAACTTGGAAGAAACTGAAACTGAACGAGATCTAGGCATTCTGACATCAAATGATTTCAAAGTCCGTGCCCAAGTGGAGTCTGCAGTCTCAATTGCCAATTACAAATTGGGCCTACTCAAAGAAGAATTCCAAAGCAGAAGCATTTGTCTCTGGCGAACGCTTTACATCACATATGTGCGCCCACACATGGATTTCGCTATTCAAGCATGGTCTCCTCACCTAAAAAAAGATATTAATATGCTTCAAAGGGTTCAGCGCAGACCAACAAAAGTTTCCTCTATCAAACATCTCCCATATGAGCAACGTTTAAATATATTCAGATTGATAACACTGGAAAAGAGAAGAGCCAGAGGAGATCTTATTGATCAGTTTAAAATTGTGAAAAAAATTGATAATTTTAATTTTTTTGTTCCTCAAAGGTTCTCTAACAACGTATATAGCAGGAGAAGTCATAATAAACAGCTACACAGACAAATTGTTAGTGACTGCAAAGAGCGACATCACTTTTTTACTAATTGTATCACATCGTCCTGGAATACGCTATCACAAGAGGCAATTGACACTCACACGGTCAACTTATTCAAAAATTTCCTATCATGATGGACAATTTGTCTCGTCGACAATTTGCCTTACACATTAGATAGTATAGAGATGCCTGATGTTGCATCTCTTTGTCAATATACTTTATAATTAATGATTGACTAATCTACAGTATTATTAAATTTTGTGAAAAAATTAAATTATTATTGATTGTAAATTTATTTATTCTAAATAAAATCAAATTCAAATTCATTTACGTGATCACGTGATCATATTGAGTAAATATTTATACAATATTTATACAGCATGCAAAAACAAATATAAAATATAAGCATGCAAACATTGATTTGTGTTCTATTTCTCTAAAAGCCATAAGCAAGCAAACATTTATTTCAAAAGGTTTAAAACTGTAGGTTATTTCAGAAATACTAAAAGGTAAAATATATTCTACTTAAGTCGAAAATATTTTACCTTTTCACTTAGACACTCAAAAGTATAGTTTTTCTTACAGAGTTGCTGAAATCTGGAATAATTTGGATGCTGTACACTCAAAAAATATTTCTATACTTAAAAAAAAAAATTAACTTATCCAATTTAAAAACACTGTTTATTATGATTGTTACATTTTTGTGATGGTACATTTTTAGTTTATGTAAGGGCACGCTGTTAGTGTCCATCTTTTGTATGGACCTACGTATCCTTTAGAACATGTATCTCTTTGTTCTAACAAATATAATAATAATAATAATAATAATAATAATAATAATAATAATAATAATAATAATAATAATAGCAATAATAACAATAATAATAATAAAAGTAAAATCTTATCAAAAAATTTCTTTTTATCATCAAAAATATGAGAAACTCTCACAATTTTGTAATAGCATTCAATGATAGCAATAATAAGCAAGTGCCAAATTCTTGACACCTGCATCCAATTCTAAGCCAAGCCTCATTTTTTTCCAAAATTTTCCTTGCATTGTGCCTTTGCAATATCCAATCGAAATCATTACTTCCATATCTATCAGCAAAACAATTCTCCATTAATCAGACGTTCATTTACTATTTCTAGAAACCTTTTTAGAAATACTTTGTCTAACTTCAAAGGTCACTATTCAGGTCATGAAATCTTTTATTTATTCTTAAAAATTTGGCTCTCGTTACTTCTGGAGAATCTTCAACAGTATCAATAATAAGGACAAATCTGTTATTCAACCTCTCTTGAATGTTTCAGATTTTGTCACCTCACCTAAAAACAAAGCTGAATTGTTTGCTTAAGAACTTTTTCTCAATATCTTCTCTTGATTCTTTTGGATTCTACCTAATATAGCAAACAAACAGTTGGATTCTACCTGATATAGCAAACAAACAGGTTGATCTATTGCTTAACATTTGCATTACTCCAGCTTTTGTATCTAAAGTGATTTCCTCCTTAGACTCTTCTACTGCTTGTGGTTCGGAAAACATACCAATTAAAGTCTTGCAGAAGTGTTCTCTAAAGCTGTCATCTATACTTTTAAAACTACTTAACAAGTCATAGTCGATAGTTGGAGTTTTGTGATAGAAAAAATCATACCTACTTGTATAAATTTTTTGATATTATAAAAAGTATAAGTAATTAAAAAAAATTAATACAATAATACAAATTTTGCAGCAACAATTGCTTAATAACAAGTATAAAGTAGCAGTTGTATAATTTAAGTTAGGCACTATTTTTTTTTAAATGAAAATTTTTATTACCAAAATAATATAGTAAAACTAACCCTGAAAATTAATAATAAATATCCTCACCACTAAATCCAGTTATAATTTTGAGATCTTTAATAAAACCATCTTGTGCAATATACCATGGATCTGCAGTATAGACTTTAACATTTGAAAAAGATTGTGGCTCTTTATTTATAATGCTGTGAACTAGTAACTCATTTAAATATATTGTATACATATAAACTCCATTTGTTTGAAACTGTGATATTTGTAAACTTGACCACTGATTCAGCGGCAGAGGCTGGGTTGTAAAAGTATAATCTTTATTTCCATTGACAACTGCAGAAATATATAAACTCCCTGAGCCATCACTATGAAACCATACAGCTGGGCATCTATCACCATATCGACCGTAATCTTCTCCAATTGTTAAATGAATAACACTTTTCCATCCTTTTGAATATGTACTGGGTTTTAATTTAAAAGAAACTGAATAGGTTTTTTCTAATAAGGGTAGTGTTGCATTTAAGTAACCTTTGATCAACTTATGCTCAACAGGGTCTGCAGTTTCTATTAAAAAAAAAAAAAAAATTCGAACTATTTAAAAAAATGTTGTTTTTCAAAATAAAAGTAAACAAATATTTTAAAAACGTTTTCTGTTACATTATCCAAACAAAGAGAAAAAAGGCTGACATTAGAGAACCTAACTTTACATATAGTTATTATCAACTTAGGCTAATATATTAAAATAAAAACACACAATTTATTTCTAAGTAATAGTATATTACCTGATTTAGTTTTACATATGAAACCAAATTGTGAATCACAAGGAATATCATACCAACCAACTGAATTTGCTATCACACAGTCTTCATTTCCTTTATCATTGTTGGGCTCATTCGGTATCCAATTATAAATTAGTGTAGGTGTACTATCTGACCACTCAAATGTATTTTCATTTCTCTGATCATTTAGACCTGAATAAAAATAGTATAAAAGATATAAAAAGTTATGAAAATATAGTATTTACAGATGTCTGAAACCATATACACTATGCAGACTAGAGAAACAAAGATGTTCCATGTACGGACAAGATCAACATGCATTATGAGGTCTAGATTGAAAGTTACTAGTAAAAACACTTATGTATTATACCTATCCAGAAATTTTGGTTTTTAATTGTGTCATCTTGAAGCTGATTTTTAATAAACAAATTTTCTTCTTCATTGGCTACACTTAACAAGTTACCTCCGTAATTAAGGCATAATGAATAAGAATCTTGCCAATTTTTTTTAGTTATACTGTTGAAAAAGTAACAATAATTTTCATTATATATCCAATCATCTGCACATTTATCACTGAAATCTAAAATATTTTTTCTTTTTCATAACTAACAATAATATTTATATTATAGTTGTATATAATATAATAACTATAATAATTAAATACAGTGGCACCAATTCAATTCTTGGTCTTTGAAATAGCTAACTTCTAGACGTGGAACAAATTCCAAACATTTATATTTTTATACCTATGTCAAATTCTTTGCAAAAAATTCTGATGATTGGAGCCTGAGAACAAAACAGCCCCATAATATTTGCCCCCACACCCTGCCCCTAATGTGAGAGAAACAGATTAATGAAATATTTCTGTACTTTTTTCAGCTAGACTTATATTCATCGATAAATTTTAAGTTTCATAGTATTATCTCTCAGCGTTCAAAAGTTATGACAATATAAAATTTGCAACCCCCTCAAATTGAGGAGGGTTTAATAGTGAGAGAAACTTTATATGGTCATAATTTTTGAACGCTCAAATATTTTACTATGAAATTTAAAATTTATCGATGAATATAGTCTAGTTAAAATAGTATAAAAAATATTTTATCAACTTGTTGCTCTCACGTTTGGGGCATGGGGTGGGGCAATTATTTTGTTCCCAGGCTCCAATCATTGCAATTTTTTGCAAAAAGTCCTTATTTGACTTAAGTATAAACATATAAATGTTTCGAATTTGCTCTATGTTTGGAAGTTAGCTATCTCATAAACCAAAAAATTAAATTGGCCCCACTGATTAAATATAAATAACTAATTAACAGTGAAAACTTTAATGTTAGTAAATAAAAACCTAAATATAAATATAAATAACATCAAAAACCCATTCATTTATTAATGTTCACATTCAGTGAAAACTCATCACTTTAAAGAATGTTTTTTATAATTTTTTTTTACTAGGAATTTTTCAAAACTTGAATAATAGTAAAATTGTTATATTTATCTACTATCTAAAATATTCCAAGAACAACAAAAAATGTTTGCACATTACAATATTTGTTTTTAATTCTAAAACAGGTATAACTTAAATGACCATATATCAATTGTATAAAACTGCTTTATTGATAATTTTTTATAAAAACAAGTGTTTACTTTTTAATATATCAAATATATTTTTTATTAATAATTTTATATTCCAACTATTTCATTTTAATCAAATAAAAATTTCTTTTAAGACCTTTTTAAAAATAGATTTTAAAGTGCAAAAATTAATGCATATAATCGGAAAAAAAATTAACAAACACTAATTACATAAATTACAAATTGTCTTAATGCTGGGTTTAATTAATATATAGCTTGTAAAAAACAAATTTAAAATAAAAAAAAATTAACAAACATAAAAAGATTGAATTATACAAAAACAAAAAAGAATAGATTTTGAAATTAATTAACTCCGAGAAATAAAATATTTTAAAATATAGCAAAAATGGGTTAACTGGGGGCTTTAATATTTAAATCCACCTTGGAAACAAATTAACTTTATTTGATAAGTATTTTATAATGTTTAGCTTATTATAAAGTCCTATAACCTTGAAAAAGAAAAATGATAAAATCAAGTACAGTTTCTATAAAAACCATTAGAATTAATTGAGGAGACTAATTAAATTTTATTGCTTTTTAAAAAACCACAAAAAAAGCAACTTAATAGACTGGAATGTTTTTAAAGTGCTGCTACTTTGACTGACAAATATAGTTATCGATAACTCAGTGGTTTTGTGCGCTTTGTCCTCTAAAAAGCAACAGGTGGAAAATCTGATGCAACTTTTTAAATAAAAATCCAAGTAAGAATAAGTTTTGGTTTATCGTAATAGAGGTGATAGTTTGTTTGAGCATTGACTATGGCAGTATTTATAGAAAAAAGAAAGACATTTTAACAACAATGGGAGAGTGGCTCAAGCTTGGTAGATAAAGCAGGTCTAATTAAACTAAATTATTAGGTCAGAGAGCAAAAGAGTTGTTATTGGTCAATATTCGAATGTCAACAATATTGCAATATTTTTTTGCAGTAAATAAATAAGTTTTGTTGTCTAACAAAAGTTGAGGATTTTAAGCCCAGAATTTAAATCCACAAGTCACTGCAAGTCTTAAGCTGTTACAGAAAAGAGATCGGATTAAAAACCGCCTGCTTGTTCTAAGCAATCAAAAAGTGAAGATTTTTTGTCAAAACAAGAGTACGAGGTTAAGCAGTCAGTAAATAGAGGCACTTTAAATGTAAAATCTTCATGAAAATTCTTATTGTAGATAAAAAACATTACAGGAACAAAGATGGAAACTTGTTGTGCCCTTAAAATTACTTGAAATAAAGAGAAGTGTAGAAGACAAAATGTAAGCCTTTAAGAATAACTCGAATACTGCAATTAGAAAGAAAGAATTTAATAACCTCAAAACCATTATATAAAGAAACTAATAACAGGGTAAACACTTATCGTAGGACAGTTAGAAAGGTAATGTATTTTCTAGAGTTTTGAATTATTGGAACTACTAATCTGGACCACAAACTGTAGAAGTGTTTAATTGAGAATTAACTTTAGTGTTTGAAGTAATAGTGATTTGATGTTTAATAATGGATTAATCTGTTTAACTGGCAGGAAGAGTATGGCCATAAGATTCAAGAGTCAAACTAGACTAAAATATCATTGCAAAAAATATTGCCTTATTCTGGGAAGATGTAAAAAGATCAGACCCATGAATTAGAGGTTGAATAAATACTTACTTTAGTTAATGACACTGTTGAAGACTAACTAAAAGTCTCTAGAATCTAACATCCGAGATAAGAAACCAGATACAGTAAACTTAGAATAACAGAGCTTAACATCAGACAGGACCTTTTTACATTGGCTTCTTGGAATAATAAAAGGATATTTGTTTATAAGAGAAATGTGCATGTAAAAAAGATGCATGATTACTGTTTAATAAAGCAACTGCTCAAGATGGTGAAAAATGCGGAGTAGAATGAGGTTTTAATTAAAATTGAAGTGAAGGAGTAGAAGCTTTTATTCCAGAAGGAATAAAAGCTTCCAAGATGGGCTTTGTGTATACATGTTGTAAATCATTCATAATCTGATAAACATATATGTTTGCTATTAATTCATATTTATATAAACTTTAGTATTTATATGGTGTAGTATTTGCCAAAAGAAAATGATCAGATGGAATATGATATGACTATCTTAGGCTGATTAGAAAAAAATGTTGTTTCGAACAATATTTTTTAAAGATGATTAACGTGATTTAGGTATTAGCATGTAGAAATGTAGCAGTTTCACGAGAAAATGGTAGTGGTAGAAGTAAGAAAAACCTGAAGAGAGTGTCATATGTTCTATGAATGAGGTTTAATTAAGAATGGAAAATGCTCTAGACTGTTTATATTAGAGAAACTAAAATAAAAGAAGAAGGATAAAGCCTGCTGATGATGATGATGATAATAATGATGATGGTTATGATGATTATGATAATCATGTTAATCATAAGGATGTTTTATATATGCATATATGAAATTTAACATGAATGTTGAACAAAAAAATAATTTAGGATATATAACTGTTAATGCATCCCCGATCACAAACCCGACCCCGGCTGTATTTTATTAAACTCGGCCCCGGTCAAATATTAACCCCTATACTTACTAGTGTCCTCTGTGTCATTTCTGAGAGTTTAAATCTAACACTTGGAATTTCACACATAAGTGAAATTCCACTAATGTGTAAAATATTGCTATACTTAGGACAATAGTTTATAACTACAGCGCTGGAAATAGTTATTTAAAGTTTGCTGATCAACACCGAGTGACTAAAATTTGATATATGGTTTTCAAGAAAGATTGCAAATAAAAGTTAATCCTTGTAGATGACTCATTAAGTACATTACCGTTAATAAATATATGAAGATCTAAATTATTGCGATAACGATTGGCTAAAAAAAATGTAGTTTTATCTGGATTAAAGTTCACCAGCCACTGTGAGCCCCATGCTGTAGCAGAAGTGAGATCCTTTTTAAGCTCAAACGTCCCCTTCAAACAATCAGAAAGAGTTGGATACTTATTATGATAAGAATAAAATGCGAACAATGCTACTTTAGATGCTAATGTAAACAATGCTACTTTAGATGGGAAAATATCTGGAAGATCGTTAATGTAATTTAAAAATAGTACTTCCCAACATGCTGGAAAACAAGTATCCAATAAGTACTTGTTAAATAGTTTTGAAAGTATGGACAACAGCTCTAGAGAACACTTCTGCAAGACTATAATAGGTATGTTGTCCGAACCACAATTTGTAGAAGAGTCTAAGCAGGAAATCACTTTTTATACAGATGCTGGAATGATACAAATGTCAAGCTATGGATCAACCTGTTTGTTGGCTATATCAGGTAGAATGCAACTAGTAGAATCAAGAGATGGTAATGGTAAAAAGTTCTTAGCAAACAATTCAGCTTTGTTTTTAGGTGAGGTGAATGAATGAGATAAAAGTTTGAGAGATCAAACTATGATCAGAAGAATCTAAGGGTGAATATGGAGAAACTGAGCACTGACTAGGATCAGAAACAAGATATAGTTCAAGTAGAGAAAATAAATGATTTGAGTTATCTTAAAGCGAGTTGGAAAGTTGACTATTTGAGTTTCGAAATTGAGAAAGGCAAATGTTGTTGACCTTAATGCCAGCAGAGTGACTGACACTAGAGCCCAGCCACTCAGTGTAATGAGCATTAATGTCATCATCAACAACAATATTGGCTGATAGATAAAGAGAGCGGGCTTCTTAAATTTAATCAGAAACAACACCAAAAAGAGTGCAGTCTTGAGATGAAGGAGAAATAGCTTGGTTAATTTGATCAGAATAACATCAAAGAGTGCAGTCTTGAGATGAAGGAGAGCGATATAGAACAAAGAGAATGGTGATAAATTGAAGTGATGCTAAACGAAAGCACATAAAAAAAAGTCTGTGGATTCAAACCTAGTTTCCCGACAAATGGATGAATTCTAACGAATGTAAATGTCCAAGCCAAGCATGTGACAATTGGAGTCTTTATGAATTTAAGGAAGGTAACCATCAACACTAAGATCACAAGATTAGACAGCCAAACTCAAATTAGTCTCACAAAGAGTAAGTAGGTTTGGCGAACTTTGCAGGAGATAAGACATATCGAGGCCTTTCATCAGTAGTACTTGTTTAAGTATTATTATGTAAAAAAAAATTTTTTATTCGTTCAGTCATAATTGAAACTCTGCTAAACACAGTTTTTCTGTGGTATAAACAGATGTAAATACAGCTATTCTTTTTGCAAGATTATACTGAACGTTTTTTTTGAAGTGTTAGTTTCTTCATAAAATATATCAGTTTTGATTTATTTGTTATTTTGAGGAATAACAGAAATGTCTAAAAAGTTAATTACATTATAAATATTTTCTTTTTCAATTAATTCAATGCCATAGTCAATGAAGTGAAGGTAAGTGACTTGTTTAATTTAGTGAGTGACTACTTAAATTTTTCTATATCTAGATGTTTAGGCCATATGTTAAGACCACCATCAACATAACTAAAGTAGAACTATTCAATACTTTGAAAACTGTCATTCGAAAAAAATCTAGGTAAAATTTGTGGAAAAAGTAAAGTTTCTTCTAAAATCCTATCATGAGGCATTTCGAGTATAGCGCAAAGTCTTTGCCCATGGCTGTGCCTGTGTTTGGTGAAATAATTGGTTATTAAAAAGAAAATTATTATCTTTTAAATTAAAGGATGCTGATTCTATAATAAAATTCTTAATAATTCTTTCAGGTATTAGGTTTTTATGTTTACCTTTTTTACAATTACCTGAACAATGTTATTGAAAAAGCGTTTCATAATGCAAAACTGCAAGGACCAGCTCAACAAAAAAAGCTAAAGAAATCTTTCCTTTAGTCACTTCATTTTACAGTAATCTAAACTGCCAAGCTAAACTAAAACAAATCTTCTACCCGAGAAAAAAAAACCCGCTAATACTATTAGGAATATGTTTAACTTCCTGCTAATCCTGTTAAGTTCCTGCTAATACTGCTAATCCTGGTAAGTTTTCGCTTAATACGGCTAAACCTATTAAGTTTCTCATTAGTGAAATGACGTTTATGAATTTCCTGCTAATCCTAGTAAGTTCCTACTAAGTACTTATCAAGATTAAACGAATTACTTAGTAAGTTCCTAGTAAGTTTTCAAAAATAAAACAAGTATAAAAAATCGTCTTTGTTATACGCCATCTTTTATTTATTCACACGGAAGACAAGTCAGACATAAAACAGCTTTTTTAGATTCAATAGTTTTACTAATTAATATTTGTAATTCTATAAGGAAAAAGCTCAAGAACATCTGGGGATGATTGGCGTGGTTTGCAGTTTATTTGATGAATATTTGTTAATGTGTTATAATGTGGTTTAAATGTTAATTTTAACTCTATATAAATTCGAGCATTTTCTGTTGTATCAATTCGAGCATTTTCTGATTCATAGTGATATGTATGGTGATGTGTTTTTTAAATTATATTTTATTTTTATTTCTGATTTTTTTATTTTCATTGTTTATGATTTTATATTGTTTAATAAACATAAAATCATAAATCATAAACAATTATATTGTCAGTCTTTCTTTTTACTATTTCTTTTTACAAAAAAGAGTAAGTGACTTATCTTTATTAATAAAGATTTGTCACTTTTTTTTAGTAAAAAGAAAGACTTTTTCTCAAAATTTTATTTGTAATTTTATTTAAAAAGTCAAATTTTTATGTCAAAAAACCACTCACTTCAAGCTTGACTAAAAGTTTTAGTCAGACTAAAAGGGAGTAAACCATTTGACATTAAAAATTGATCAATATTAAAATCACTCTCTCATAAAATATATATAAACATTTTTTACTGGTAAATATATTTTTATTGTTATCTCTTGTTAACAAGATTTAACATTTCTTTTTAACATGTTAAACAAACTATAAAATTATTGAATATTGTTATATTTATTTACTTAACATTAAGATTTTTGTTATAAATGCCAATGCCAATGCCAAATGATATTGATGCTTGTCAGCAACTAATTTATTTATTTCAAAAGGCATTATGCTCCTATTTCGGTGAAGGTATTTGCACATTCACTTTCCATGCATTAGTGCATCTCTCTGACCAGGTAAAAAATTTTGGACCTCTTACAGCAACGTCTGCTATGGTGTTTGAAAATGTAAATTGCCAACTAAAGAGGTCTGTTACAGGAACGTAAAGCCATGGAAGGCAAATGGCTAAAAAATTTATTAGATTTCAGACGGAAGACCACTTAAATACTTTTTCTTTGAATCCTTTTGTGTTAGGTGCAGCACAAAATATATCAGATAAGTTGCGGAATATGGATTTGAATGATTTAAATGTTGACCTAAATCTTTATCAGTTTTATAACCGTTTTAGAGTTGCTGATAGAACTTTTCATGCTTATCATTATGGTAAAAAATTAAAATCAGCTTCATATTATGCATATTTAATAGAATTTAATGTGATTGTGAAAATTTTGTTTATTGCACATATCCAAAGACAAATCTTGTGTATATGTCGATTGTATAAAAATGTAAGTAAGTTTCATCGTCATATGGATTCTTTTAATATTCCTATCAAAATCAAGCATGTTTTGTCAAAAATATCTCCTTATTTATTGTTGAAAAAGTGTGGATTAGCTGTTTTTGATTAAAGCAAATTTACTCACTACGCTCTTGTAAAAAAAACAAAGAAATTTTATTATAGTGTTGTTATTCAAAATAATTATGAACATGATTAGGTTTTATTTCTATTTTTTAAAGTTTGAAATTGTATTATGTTTTTTTGTATTATTATATATTTACTTTACAATATTCTTTTTATTAGAAGTTGTTATTTAGGATTCCGTTTGCGATCAATTAATTAATGAAACATCAAACTTAATTCATAATGGCGACAAGAGTTTGTTGTTTACAATGATCTAAATCAGATTTCTTTTTGTACCATTTTGACTTTGTGTAGTGTTTCTTTTAAGAATTAAATAAATTTGTTAAGAGAAAAGAAATCGCATCCACCTGTTATCGCGGATAACAGGTGGATACGATTAATATCTATTAAATTAATTAAATATTTATTTAAGATACAATTATTAATTGTTTTTCGTCAACTGTAAATTTTCCTTTTTTTATATGTATATAAAAATAATATGTGTATATATATGTGTATATATATATATGTGTATATATATGTGTGTATATATATATATATATATATATATATATATATATATATATATATATATATATATATATATATATATATATATATATATATATATATACACACGAGGCTTATTTAAATTTTTTTAATTTAACTTAGTTTCATATTTTCATACACTTTTATTTTGAAATTTTAGATTATAATAGCTTTGAAACAATGATAATGAAAGTTTTTTCATAATTCTAAATATATGGTAAGTTAAATATGCTTTTTTGCTATAAAATATATGTTGTTAGGTTGTTGAATTACATTAATATTTTTATAAATTACGTTGTAGCTACAGTTATGGTCGTAAAAGATTAAGAAAAATCTTATGGGTGCAATTATTCCACTGACACCTGCGAAATTACCAAAAGAACTGACCATCGCTGTTTATTTTATTTTTTTAAATGTTCTAGTTAAACAATCTAACACTTAATTATTTGTTATTTTTATTAATGTTTTATAAATAAGCGTCCTTACTGCTTAGCGACTAGTTAAGTTATATTATAAGAATTATATTTTCAAGAAGATTCTGTGTTTAAGTAAAAGTTATTATTTTTACTTAAACTCGTATATTTCTTGAAAAATAAGCCTACTAATATATCTATGAAATCTTTAAAACTCAAATAATTAAATAAAACCCTAATAAACATATGAATTTAACTAAAAAAACTATAAACTAAAACTAGAAAGAAATACTTAACCGAGAAAAAAAAACCTACTAATCCAGTTATGTACCTACTAAGTTCCGAGTAAAAACCCTAGTAATACTACTAAGTTTCCTTCTAAAAACTTGCTAATCCTACTAAGTTTCCTACTAAAAACTTGCTAATCCTACTAAGTTTCCTACTAAAACCTGCTAATCCTACTAAGTTTTCTACTAAAACCTGCTAATCCTACTAAGTTCCTAGTAAGTACTCGGCGGGAACTTACTAAGTTTTAGTAGGAAACTTATTAGGAACTTAACAGGATTAGCGGGTTTTTTTTTCTCGGGTATTCAGTCAATCCTCAATTGAAAGAATACAAAATTTTTTTCTAGTATCAATCCTGTAACAGCTTACAAACAACCACCAAATTTACTGAGAAAATTTACTTTTTCTAAATTTAATTCTGTAACATCTAACAATAAAAAGATAGGAATTTTTAAATCAAATAATTAAATCATTTGATTCAATCATGTAATGATTAAATCAAATAAAAAAAAATCAATTATTTTATTATTTACAGGTTTGACAACCAAACACATGGTTGCTAAATCTGTCTATTATATGGCCAGTTCTGCAACTTAAAATATGACCATTTGTGCAATTTCTCAAGTTATTTGTTTTTCTATTATATGTAGATTGACAATTACACGATAAACATTTTAAAAAGTAAAGGATATAGTAAAAATTAATGTGACTTTAAATGTTCCAAATAGTACCATTGGATGTTACAAATTTTATTTACCTCTTGCAGGTAAAATAGACAAATTTTGTAACGACTATCATTTAATGATAGTTATAATAGTTATAATTTTATATAAAACAATAAGTAAAAGTTCAATAAGATTTTTTTATAAAAATGCGTACTTTTGTTTTTATTAAAAATTTTAAAATAGTTTTAGTTTCTATAAAATGATAACTATTTTTAAAATTTTTATAAAATTTTGCTTTTTTTGAGACCCGAGATACTTTTGTAGAAATTTTTTTTTGATAATATTAGGACCTGATGTTTAAGGGACTTGAGCTACCCCTAAAATAAATTTTTTCCAAGAAAATTTTTCAATTTCAGTATTATTTTAGTATATAGAACACATTTAAAAGGTGGGAGCAGAGATAAAAAAAAACTGATTGGGAAACCCTATTATGTATGTGTATGTAAGATATGACAGTAAACAAACAAAGTATAGAGGCATCCATAAAGTACGTACGCAGTAAAACCACTGATTTAGTATCCCCTTCCCCCTTGTAAACATTGTTATGCTTTTAACTAACTAACCCCTGCCTCTGCATATGTATGCACTATTTATTACAATATTATACCTCCTCCCACCTTAGTAAAGAGGCATCCATACAGTCCTTCCACCTTCCCAAACATAAAGATTTTTCAAAACATTAAAAGCAAAAAAAGTTTTAGTTAACTTGACATTTCTCTGTTATATAACATAATATTGAATTTTTTTTAAACTCGTGAAATTCAATGCTTTTTTTTAAAAAAGAAATCAATTTTTTTTGGAAATAGAAGTTGAAAAATTGTTCAAACAACATATTTTTTTGTTATTGTTTTATACAATTTATGTCAGACAAAAAAAAAAATCGCACTTTGTTTTTTATCCTTGTCTAGATGAGAAATTGCATCATTAGATAAAACAGGCTAAATATGATAACAGTATTCCATACAGGGTTTATAGAGGTAGAGAATGAAAAAGAAGCAAGATATTGGCAAGCACGATAAAGAGAAAAAACCTTAGCAAAGTTAGCAGTTGCTAACTTTGCAATATTTCGTATATATGGTTTCTATTTTTTATTTTTTTTCAGGTGCTATAAGAAGACCTAACGGTCTTGTCACAGAGCAGCGCGGAAGTGCATTTAACCAGGACGTTTACGCCTCTTTCCTTATCATGACGCAAAATATGTCCAAGGCTCGATTCGAACCTGGATCTTCCGCTTACAAAGCAAGCGCTCTAACCTCTGCGCCACGGCCGTACATTGAAAGGTTAGTAATGAATGATAATTCAAAAAGACATAAAAAAGTGGAGGTTTGCGATAGTTGTTGAAGTGTTGACTATATTGTAATAGTTGTTTGCAATAAATAACTGATGTATTACAATCACAATAAGATATTGCAGTTATAATATATGGTATATTACAATTATGATTGTAGTATACCATATATATTTTAATATATATGGTATATTACAATATATATATATATATATATATATATATATATATATATATATATATATATATATATATATATATATATATATATATATATATATATATATATATATATATATATATATATATATAAATATATATATATATATATATATATATATGTATATATATATATATATATATATATATATTTATTGTAGTATACCATATATATTTTAATATATATGGTATATTACAATATATATATATATATATATATATATATATATATATATATATATATATATATATATACATAACATTTAGTTGATATACATAACATTTAGTTGATGCATGTAACGACGATATAACAACCAATTGTTTATGATATGCATCTAGTACTTAATAGTGCGTTGTTTCACACAATACGCTGCTAACAACATTTCACAAAGATAACGGGAATGTATTTTCCAAAAATTTATCTCATTCTAAACAGAAAAATAATATAAAAGATAAGACTTTCTTCATAGTTGAATTTTACACTGTTTTTGCTTATATGAAATATTTTGAGGCTTTATCAGTCTACAGATGCTTAAGATATCTAAGCTCTTTGGCAGATGATGAGATTCTAAAAACTTAAACCAAATCAGGAATAACCTGTTATTGAATCTGTAAAGAGTTACATTTAGTTTATGGACCCAAATATTGTAGTGCTGTCTCTTGACAAAAATGTACAAGAACTTAGTTCCATTCCAATGAAGCTGCATTCAACTCCTACAATACCTACAACTCCTCCAAAATGTAAAAATGATTTCTCTAATTAAAAAGCATAATCAACCAACCTTATTTTGGCCAAATCCGGCATCGATCCATTATTCCAAAGTTATAAAAGAAAAAAAGAGACAATTTTGTTTCAAAGGATGCTAATCCTTTAATATATATATATATATATATATATATATATATATATATATATATATATATATATATATATATATATATATATATATATATATATATATATATATATATATATATATATATATATATCCTAACTCTTTTTTTTTGTTTTGTTTTTGTTCTTATTACAATATACTATGATATAAATATCATTGTACATTAAATACCAGAACACGGATACTCAAAAAGGATCATAAGATCCTGTCACTGAGAACCATTTATTAATGCAAAAAAAATATAACCAGTTAGATAATTACAATAAATGAATTTAGAAATAAAATTCAAATATAAAAAGATATTTCAAAACATAAAATAACATTTAACAACATAAAGAATACATATAAAACTAAATATTAAAAAAAACAAAAACAATATATTCAGGAATCACACATTTTTTTAAAAAGTATAAACTCAAAAGAACTCAAAGATATTATCAATTGACAAGATAACTTTTTTCAGCCTAATTTTAAAAGTAAGAAAACTCCAACTTTGAGAAAAATCAAAAAAAAAAAAATCAAAGGGGTTAGCAGGCTTGGTCAAAAAGGCGTGCGATTTCACGGCTTTATATGACCACGCAAAAAGTATTTTGTTTTGACAATTTGACCACAGTTTTAATATTTTAATACTTTTTTTAACATTTTATAACTTTTCAATTATTTGATAAACTCAATATATATATATTTTTTGAACATCTTCGTTTCCAGCAAGGCTGCAAGCAACCACTAATTAGTGTTGGAAGTTACTGGAAGAGAAAAGTTGAAGAATGTAGTGCAAGATAACGATTGACAGACGACTTAAAAGATTGCAAATTATATGAATCAGGAAAGCAAGATAAAAGGAAGCGAATTTTAAAGAACACTGATGTTAGAGAAAAAAAACTAGACGAATAAGAGTTTTTGGAGCACTTAGGAATAGTAACAGAAAAAGGATGAGACTTGAATGACAAATAACACAAGAATGAATTTTAGTAGATGGCACAAGAAACGCTAGCTCTTTAGAGCAGTGCCTATTATAGTATTTGTAGAAAAAAGAAAGATAAGGCAACATTATGATGATGTGACGCATTGTAAACATAGTCCAACTATGTTTACAATCCGTTTTTGCACCTTGTCTAAAAAAGAAAGGGAATCATTTGAAGATCCGGCCGAGATATGGCAACAGTATTCCATACAAAGCGAATTTGAGATTTATAGAGATAGAGAATAGAATCCAGAGAAAGAAAGTGTCGAACTCGATAAAGAGATGGAACTTTAGCAGACACTAATTTTGCAACGGATTTGATATAAGGTTTCCGGGAAAAATCAGAACTAAGAGTAAATCCTAGAAGATGAAGGGTAGATGACTCATCAAGTACATTACCGTTCATAAATATAGGAAGGTCTAAATTATTGCGATAATGTTTGGCTGAAAAAAATTGAGTTTTATTTAAATTAAAGTTCACCAGCCACTGTGAGTCCCATGCTGTAGCAGAAGTGAGATCCTTTTCAAATTCAAATGCCCCTGAAAGCAATCAGAGAGAGTTGGCTTCTTATGGTGACAAGAATAAATGGTAGTATCATCAGCGAACAATGCCTCCTTAGATGTGAGAATATCTAGAAGATCCTTAATGTAA